ACCGGCCAGGGCTTCCTTCCCCTTCTTAACTCACTAGAAACTTGGAAGTTTTATGAGGAGCGGAATCTGGACTGCTGCCTCCCGCAGCTTTCTCTCCTGCAGATTTTCCGGTTACAGTGTAACCGAAGTGCCCTAGCCCCCTAACATTGGGAGGTAATCCTTTCCTTTAGCATCCAATTATAATAAGCAGTGTTTCCATCTCAAGCCTTCTACAGGAAATTCAGACCTTTCCCAAGTCTTCCTGAGAATTCTTGATTCTGCCTGTCACTTCTCTCCTTAAACACATACCTTGGTTTCTCTGATTTCTTCTCTGAATCTTCTTGTGTTGTCAGTCTTGCCTTGTCCATTTCCCGAAAGGTGGACACGAACCTCCCTCCGTTCCTCACAGCTAGGCTAGCACAAGGCGGTCATACATTTGGTCTATGTTGGTGAATAAAGCTCATGGAAGTTTTATGAGTAAGACAAGATAAATTAAAATTTGCTACTAGACGTCACAGTGGCAGAAGTCACACCTGCCACAGGTGCTCCTTATCGTCTTCTCTCTTTTTTTTTTGCCTCTCTCCTCCCTGGCACTGTCTGCCTTTTTGCTGGAACCTGCTGGAGATAACTGGATCTCTTCTAGATACGGCCTCTAGATTCCAACCTTCTTACCTTCCATGCCTCCAGAGGAAACAGAAAAATCCCGCAACATTTAAAAAACAGAACAAACAAACAAACAAACCCAAATCAAAAACTTTCAAGAATGTTGCTCTTCATCTTTCTGTTACTTTCACGATTCTACTTAACCCATCCTCTTGGCTCTTTCATAACTTGGGTCCTACTGCTTCAGCTTCATTTCTACAACTTCCCTCTTTGTGCCTCAGCAGTTTAGGGTTCCTTCAGTTCTTCCAACACGTTCTCTCCTTCCTCTGAGTCTTCACATGTGCTATGCGCTCCCCTTGGAACACCCCCGCCTGAATGGCTCGGTCCTATACATTCCTTTGATAGAAGCTTACATGTAATTTCTTCTGGGAAGCCTTTCCCCAACCCTCAGTTTTAGATTAGACTTACCTACTGTGTGTTGCCATAGTAGCAGTAATAGTTTCCTGTGGCTGATATAAGGAATTACCACAAACCGGGTAGAAATTTATTTTTACAGTTCTGGAGCCTTGATATCTGAAATCAAGGTGTGAGACGGGCCATGCTGTTTCTGAAGATTTAGGGGAGGATCCTTCCTTGCCTCTTCCTGCCATCAGGAGTGGAACCCGGGCTGCTACCTCCCTAGAGCTTTCTCTCTTATAGATTTTTGGGTCATTTTCATTTTTTAAAAAATATATTTTTGGTGATTTCTTAGAGAGAGAGGAAAGAAGGGAGAGATAGAAACATCAGTGTGAGAAACATCCATTAACTGCCCCCTGCATGCCCCCTACTGAGGATCGAGCCTGAAACCCAGGCATGTGCCCTGACCAGGAATCAAACTGGGACCACTCAGTTCATGGGATGACGCTCAATCCACTGAGCTACACTGGCCAGGCAAGGGTCATTTTCAACCAAAGTGGTGGTTGTCTTGCAATCATTGGTGTTCCTTGGTTTATAAATCCATCTTTCCAGTACCTGCCTTCATCTTCACAGACTTCTTTCCTGTGTGTCTCTCTGTCTCTTCTCTTCTTATAAGGCCCACCCTAATTACCTTATTTTATCTTGATTACATCTGCAAATATTTATTTCCAAGTAAGGACACATTCATAGGTACTGGGCATTAGGACTTCAACATACCTTTTAAGGGGTCATGAGTCAACTCATCATAGCAGTACACATACTTAGGGTACAGCATAGCAGTTATTTCTTTAAATTGTTTTTCTAGACTGTAAGCACCTTCAGAGCAAAGACCTAGTCTGTCTGACCCACCATGGCATCTTCAGGGCCTGGCAGAGAATCTGGAATATTGCAGATATTCAGAGGATATTTCAATGAGTGAATAAATAAATACTGTGCTAATTTATTCTTCCATCCAACCCTTATTTCTCCCCCTTGTCAAAGCCTTGATGTCCTCTGAAATTCCTGAATCTTAGTCACCAATCACCAAATCCTACTGAACTTGCTCTTAGTTATCTTTTGTTGATGGCTGGCAGTGTCTCCTCTTCTCTCGCCATTACCACCATCCTGATTTAGAACAGTGTCCTCTCTGCCCTGGACTATGAGGAAGGCCTCTGAAATGTTGCTCCCACATTCTCTTCCAGCCCCTTTCCTACCCATTTCTCCACACTGCAAGTTGAGTGATCCTATTAAAATGTAAATCTCATATGTCATTCTACTACTTAAAACTTGGCAATGCACTTTGGCTGGTTCGGCTCAGCGGTTAGAGCGTCGGCCTGTACACCGGAAAGTCCTGGGTTCGGTTCCCACTAAGGGCACGCACCTCGGTTGCAGTTTGTCCCTGGCCCCTGTTGGGGTTGTGTGGGTGGCAAACAGTCGATGTGTCTCTCTCTCATCGATGTTTCTCTCTCTCTCCCTCCCTTCCTCTCTATCTGAAGATAAATGCAAAAATGTCCTCAGATGAGGATTAAAAAACAAACAAACAAACAAACAAACAAAAACTTGGCAATGCCTTCTCACATATATGTGATAAATTCCCAAATTTTGAATATGGCTTCTAAAGCTGTCAGTGATTTGAGGGTTCCAGCCTCCTTCTCAACCCCATCTCAACCAGCCTCCTTTTTGTTCTGTATGCACTGGACGTAATGTAGTTTTCATTGTCTCAACCACAGTATGCTCTTGTTAATTCAGACCTGTGCACATGCCATTCCTTCTGTCTGGAATGCTCTTCCCACCCATGTTGGCCTGGCTAACTGCTACGTATCATTCACATCTCTGCCAAAACCTCTCTTTTTCAATTAAGGCTCCATGACTGACCTCTCTGGTCTTAATTAGGCCCCCCTGCTATTGATGTCCTCAGAACAGATTCTCAGCACACCAAACATTTCTCCTTTGTAAAGCTCATCATACTTACAGTCTTTGTGCAATGTCTATCTTCCATGCAAACCACACGAGGACAGGGGTCATGTCTAGCCTGTTCCCTTCTGCATCCCCAGCATTACCTGATGTACATGGTGCCCAACACTTCTGTTGTTTGAAGAATGGGAAGCCACTTGTGATGTGATGTATAGTTTCTAGAAATCAGCATGTTGCTCCTTTCTTGCTTAGCTCCTTTCAGTTTCTGATTTCTGTGGACTTTCCCTTGCTCAGCAGAACTTCTTCTCTGGAAGAAGAAGTGTATGGTGGTCAGGGTGGGGAAGACGTTATTAGATGACAGAACTTTTATATTGCTGGGGTTGAAAGGGGAAATCTTTACCAAATTCCCAACACTGTGTTGAGGTGGGCTGGAGAGGCCATGTGCCGTTACCCAGATTGCTTCTCTCACCACCCTCCCGATGGGCGAGGGGAGAGAGCGGCTGACGGGATATTACTGTTGGGAAAGGAAATGAAGATAAATATACATGCACTGACTTGTATTGCCTCTTCTAGAAGTTCTTAGAATGTTTCTTTCTAATTCTTGCTGTTTTCCTTACGATAAAGATTCATAAGCACACAGTATTTCTAATTTTCCCACTCGTTGACCAACGGTATATGTCCCCAAGAATTGAAGTGTCTTATATTTGATCATCTATGTATGTTTCCTTCATTCAGTAAATGTTTATTAGGGCCTCCTATGGTCAGGTTCTGGGCCATGCGCTTTGCATGCAAAGTGTGTACAGTAAAGTCTGCCTTCTTGAGGAGCCCACATGCTGGTTGGCATGAAAACCATCAATTTAAAGAGGTGTTACCCTGTGGTCGGTGCTATGACAGACAGGTCCGTGAGTGTTTCAGGACCCAGAAGAAGGAGGCAGAACTTTGATGTGATTGGGAAGCTTGCACATTGCTGTCTCAATCAAGTGGTTGATTATCTCAAAGGCTTTTAATCACATCTTGAAATGTATTCCCTGTGTTAACATGTTCTGGGATTTTCTACATTATCTTCAGTTCCCTCGGAGGCAATGGGACCGACACGCTAAGAGAAGGGGCCCAGAGGTGGGTAGACCTGGACTTCAAATCTGGGCCTGGGCCTCGCCTTCCCGCTGGGCGACTTCGGGGAGCCACTCACTTTCCCACAGCCTGAGAGTGCGGGACTGTCTGATGACGCAGCGCACTCGCCGGGGCCCGGCATGTGGCGGAGGCAGGTGCTCAGTTACCTCTGCTCCAGGTGACTGTAGCTTTTTGTGTTGTTGTTGGTGGTGACAGAAACCTTTTTTTCTGTTATCCTCACCCGAGGACATTTTTTCATTTTTGTTCAGATAGAATGGAAGGGAGAGAGAGACAGAGAAAAGAGAGAGAGAGAGAGAAACATCAACGTGAAAGGGGCACATCGAGTGGCTGCCTCCTGCACAACATCAACCAGGGCCGGGGACAAACTGCAACCAAGGTACGTGCCCTTAGCAGGAACCGAACCCGGGTCTCTCTGACCACGGGCTGACGCTCTACCCGCTGAGCCAAACTGGCCAGGGTAAAACCTTTTTATATTAAGCTTTACAGGACTCACAGAGGCTTAGTTGCTGATTTTTAAAAAAGGCTTTTACTGGTATAAAAACAATTTAAACATTACATAAATACATTATAAATATTTCTTTTAAAACATGTATAAGTTAGCAATTTATCTGAGGTAAGCCTATACAGTCCAAGAAATGATCTGACTCTGAAATGAGGGTAATTCAAGCTGTATTACCATTTTATGCTTTTGTTGTTTCTCTTTTCAAAATGAACACAAAATATTTCAAGTGGCACTTCATATAAATATAAATATCATTTATATAAATTAACTCATATCACATATTTAAATATCAATAAATTAAAAATAATTAAAATAGTGTCCTAACGCGCATACTTTTAGTTCTTCATAGAGAACAACATAAGTTATGTGCCCAGTGGACAGCTTTCTGACCAGAGAAAGGAATGTCCATGAGGTGCACCCATCCCAGACGCCCAGGCTACACCCGAACAGCCCTCTGGGCGAACTGCAGGAAGTCCTCGAAGCTGCGCAGGATGAGGTGGGCCGTCCTGGTCTTCAGCCACTCTTTCTGCGACTGCATCTTCTCCAGCAGGCCAGCGCTTGCGGTTGGGTCTGGGGTGGCTTCTTCAACTGGATTCTTTAACTGGAGGAAAAAGAAAACAAAAAGAATTGTTTAAATATTGAACGAATCCCTTTCAGTGCAAGGATGCTCTGGGCTGGGGGAAGATGTTCAAATTTGGGGTGAAGGAGACTGAGGCCACCTGCCCTGATTTGCCCAAATAGGGTGAGGTGCTTTTCTTCCGAGCCCACCCTTTCATATCAACTGAAGTCTAAGCATTTCTTTGCTGGTCTGTCTCCTTTAGATCATAAGCATCCTGAGGGCAGCCACAGTATCTTATTTGTCCTCTGTTGTCCTAACTAGTGCCTGGCACATAGTTGGAATTCAATAGCTAAATGAGGAACCTACAGTTAGAAGCATTTCAATGGGTTCTTGAGTGGCCTCTGACTCTAATATTTTCCTCTGGTTTCTCTCTCACTCATCTGTTCGGCGTCTGTTGAGAGCCCCCTGCTCTAGCGGAGAAGGAGGACTGGGAGACACCTTTCCGTAGACCCACTGGCATGGGACACCTCCAAGAGTGGTCCTGAGCACGGAGCATCACCTGGAGCTTGCTAGAAATGCAAATCTCAGGTCTCACCCCAGACCTGCTGAGTCAAACTCTGCGTTGGAACCAGACCCCCAGGACATTCGTGTGCCCATTCAAGTGGGAGATGCCCCAGTTTAAGGCAAACAGCTAGAAAAAGCAGAGGTGGGATTAGCACCCATGGCTTTCTCCACCCAGGGCCCTGACTGGATTTTGTTTGGCTCATCCACACACTGTGCCATCAAGTCTCCATTATGTCGCATTTGAATGGCCAGCTGGTAGTACCACAGACCTGTATCTGCTCTTCCAGCCTCTAGCCATTTCTCTGAATGAGCTCTTCTGGCAAAAAGTTGGAAAAAGGGGTTGAAACTACCATAATGACAAGAATGTCACTTGGCAATAATCAAAATATTATAATAATTTTGTACTCTCTATTCTTTGTTGTTATGGATCACTGAGCAGGGTTTGTATGCTTCCTTCTGCCTCTACAGATACTTATTTTTATTATTTCTTAAGCTATTAGACGCTGATGTTACAATCCACCTCATTTAACATAGTTTTAAACATAGTTATTAATGTCTTTGCAGAAGAGAGAGAGAGAGAATAAAGCTTTAACTGTCAGGAAATGCTTCTCAGATCTTTCCTCTACGTGCAGACATCTCTTTAATTTGCTTTGCATTCCTGAGCTGTCTGGGCTGCTTTCTTTGAGACTGTCTTCCTCACACCGTGAGGAGACGGGATGACACTCACCTTTTGGTTCAGGATCTTGACCAGGATTTTGGTTCTGGTCTGCATGGCCTTGGCATTTCCCTCGAACGTGTTCTGGAGGTACTTCAGGTACACCTGGAACTCCTGAAGACCGGCGGTGAGTCTCATCAAGCAGGTCTCCTAAGAGGAAAGATGGTGGGAACATCGATTATTGCCAGGAAGACATAGCTGATTTTAAAAGTTAAAATTGCGATAATTCAACAACTTTTCCTTCTAACCACGCCCTATTTTCCCCTCCCTGGGAACTTCAAGTACTTCTCAGGCATCAGCTCCCCTATTTGAAGTATCCGGCCAGTCGGAGACACCACTGATCAATTTGCCCAGAGCCCAAGGGCGAGGAGCCCTCTGACCCTCCCGTCAGTGCTTGTCGCCCTGGCTGCCCTCCTGCCCTTGCCCATGCTGGGCTACACGTTTCTGTGGAATAACCAGAAGTCAGCACAGGCTGTCTCACTGCCGGGAAGGAGAACGGCGTGGAGAACGACCTCAGCAGGGAGGACAGTGCGAAGGGTAGCCAAGGAGGAGAAAAGTCACTGAACCACCACCTCGCGTAGGGCAAACGCGCTAAACCCGCTGGGGTTGAGTCCCAGGGCAGGCAGGCCACCTCCGACCGGGCCGCTCCAAAGGAAGTTGCCTTCACAGAGATTCCAGTCAGCTGCCTCATGCAGTCGACAGGATGTTCTTCACATCTGCCGCCTGCTTTGTTGCCTGCCTGGTCTACGTGCACGCAGACCCCGCATGCAAGGTGCAGACCCCGACTCAGGACTGGCTAACGATGGACGTGATGTGTGGGTACCTGATTGAATCCAGAATGGAAGCACCCATCTTTTTTTGTCAGTTTTGGAAGGTTCAGGTTGTTTTCTGTCAGCGCCTCCTTGCTGTTTTTACACGATTCATCGTTGTCACACATCTGGGAAGAAATGCCACAAGTTATCATACAAGTGCCCCTCACGCAAACGCCACTAGAGGGCCTGTTCATGTTCCACCGTGGCCAGGAAGTTTTTGTAAGAAAAATGAAGTCCCAGCCCATTAGCATCCAGGCAAGCGAGATCTAGTGGAGGGTGGGCACACCTGGGTTCAAGTCCAGGCTCACCTGGACTTCAGGCTTGTTACCCACCCCAGTCTCAGGGTCCCTGTCTCCAAACGGAGGTAACAAAACATCTCCTTATAAGTTTGTTGTGATGAGATAATATTTATAAAAAGCGCCTGGCACATAGTAGGTACTTAATACACTTTGATGATAATTGGGTGAATAGAAATTGAACCACAGAATGTTCCATTGGGAAGGAACTGTGAGATCACCTAGTCCGATCCCAGGTTTTACAGGTGGGGCCCAGAATTGGTAGGAAATTTGCCCAAGATCACAAAGCTGGTTCAGCAGAACCAGAGCTGGATTTGGGCTGTTCCAATCCCCTTTCCTGTGTTTCTTCCTTTCTACAAAACAGAGCCCAACTACCTTGCATTTAAAGCTTGGGAGCTGCTTTAACCTCCCTATGATTTTGCCTCGTCAGTGGGCTATCAGGTTTGCATTGTATAAGCTGGGGTGACTTTCGGAGTCCCTAACTACCAAGTTTGTATAACCTAAAAGTACTGTGACTGTCCTGAAAAGCTGGACATTCATTTCAGGTGCCACTTTTCCAATCCTCCCAAAGTCCAGGGGATACACACACATACACAAAAGATCGACAGACCTCATTTTTCGGTTAGGGAAAAGGGAGTCCCGAGAAACAGTGCCCCTTAGCTTATGTCAAGCATGGAGCTGGGAATGGGCCAGAGTGTGAAGATTCCAGCCCCATCTGCATTTCCCAGGAGGGAAAGGAATTCCCTGGGACCAGCAGCAGAGAAGAAATACAGATGATAGTCTGCTTCTTCAGCTCCAAATCTAAACTGCCCCAGAAGAACCCAGCTAGGACCTCCCAGTGCAGGCGCCCCCGCCTCCATCCAGGGGCCGGAGAGGGGAGCCCACGCAGGTCTCTGCTCACCCTCTACGGGGCTCACCCACCTTATTTTTCACTTCAGAGATTTCGAAGAGGATGGACTGAATGAGTTTTTCAGTTTGTTCTGAAGAGGTGAGTGCTGATCTATTTGAGACGGTATCATCTTTGGAATCTTCTCCCAGGGGAGCCGGGGTAGGGAAAGCAGTTGCCATCACCAGGAGCAGCCCCAGGGAGAAGGCAACTGGACTGAAGGTGTCTGCGCCGGAGGGAAGGGAGAGCAGCAGTGAGCAGACGCCGCTGGGGAAGCTGTGCCTCGGGCTGCTGGCCGCCCGCCAGCCCTCAGCGCACACCCAGTCTCACCCGGCCAGGGATTTCCTTCACTTACTTGTGCAGAGGGAGTTCATAGCCGGTTCCTGGAGGGAGGTGGAGCTCTCTTTTCTTCCTGGTGGGCTCGAGGACAGAATGAGCCTCAGACATCCTCAGTCTCATATTTATTGGGGCTTGAGACTCTAATATTGAGACTCATGGGAAAATCCCACATTTGATAAATCTTCGTTGGAGGGTGGGGGTGGGGCTAGAGTGGGTGGGGCTGATTGGAAACCTTATTAAGATTGTGCAATGTGACGTCCTTGAGCATCACAAGGATCATAACCAGGGGGAAATGTGCCGCTGAGGTCATTACCAAGGAGCCCGAAGAAGCAAGATCACTCTTCCTCTACTTTCTTTTTCCTTTTTTTTGTGACTCAGCACTTTGGCATGAGTTGAGAAGGAAAAATCTAAAGTCATCCACAAAATCTGATGGGGGTTAGAAAAGCTAAGGCTGACTATGATTAAAAAAAAACAGAACACAAAAAAACAAACAGAAAAAACCAACTTCAATGATCACCAGATCAACAGGCTAGGATTTAGTTTTCCAGTTTTTTCATATTTGTAGAATCCTAATAGGTTCTGACCTGAGTTTCCTCAGACCCCCACAGCCCACCAGCCTGGGGTTACACACAGGATGATACCCCAAGCCACCTGCAGTACTCTTCGTTCCTGGCCCTCACCATGGCCAGCTGTTGAGACATGCCACCTGCCCCCACATCTCACGCAGCTAATCTCCGGGAGTCTCCAGGTGCAGTGCGCGCTGACTACAGAAATGACTCCTTTTTGCCCCCATGTGGCACTGACCAGTTTCCTCCTCACCTGCTCCAGCTCTCTGCGGCCAGGTCAGCTGCAACACTGCTCTCTCCCAAGTGGCCCCTTGGGGACCCGCTGGTGAAGACTGTGATCTCTATGCCAAGAGGGTTGTCTTCAGCTGCTGTGCTGTCCCCGCTGCTGGCAATGGGGTGATCCTGCTCCTGCAGAGGAGCCCTGAGGAGCCTGGTGGGTGCTGGGTCTGCTAGAGCCCTCAAGTTCCTGACGCCCACTTATTTCAGGGCAAAAGTGGGGAGAATGCTACTCACCTCTTTGATGGGATGTCAAAGGAGGACCTTGTGGCATTTTCTGGAGCTTGTGTTCATAGCTCCCTCCTGTTGTATGACTTGATTCGAGTCCACAGGCGGCTGGGAAGGAATCTAACACAGACTCGGCTCTAGGCTCTGATCACGGTTCTCCTCCAGTGCCCCAGCCCTTCTTATTGGCCGAGCTTGAACAGGCTCCCTCAGCTTACGATGACGATGTGTCTTGCAGGTGAGTCCTTGGTCTCATGCAAATAGGCTCATGACCAGGCTGCCCCACCAGTCTCCCAGACACCCAGACAGCTCAGAATATTGGCTCCAGGCTACAACTAGGACCCTTGTAGAGCACCAAAAACAAAACAAAACAAAAACAAAAACGAAAAAAAAAAAAAACCCACCCCAAATTATTTACAAAACAGTGTTATCAAAGAGGAACTCGTCAAGATTACTAAAACAAGGACCTCTGCTATGGTATTTAAATCGATTTACTCAAGTTTTGTTTTGTGCACAACACTGGAGGGCCCACCTGTTGGAGAAAGTGAGGTCATCCATTCTTTCACTGACTTTCTACACCGAGGCGGGTCCTGCGTGGCCACGGCAGGGGTGTCAGTTTGAAAACGAAAATGGGAGAGGATGGTTGAATGGTTTCCTTTTTAGTGCTCTTGGGTCTTGAGCAAATCAGACACCCCCAGCTGAGTCCTCTGTCCTACACCAAACGAAGCCACCATCCTGGCTCCCCTGTGATGCAGGTGACAGGCCTGTAGTGTGGGATTGCTTTTCTTCTCACATGTCTGTGCTTTAGAAAATACGACTCAGCAAATTTCAAATACTTAGTGACTTGACAATATCGTGCAGATTTTTCTTTTCAATGAGAAGTTTTGAAAATAGGAAGTGCACATGATAAAATATTCAAATAGGACATCAGGGTATATAGGAAGAAGTAAGTCTCCTTTCTTTTCAGCTTCCTTCCCCAGAGGTCAAAGGAGGACCCTGTGGCATTTGCTCCCTCCTGTTGTATGACTTGATTTGAGTCCACAGGCGGCTGGGAAGAAATCTAATACAGACTTGGATCTAGGCTCTGATCACGGTTCCCCATGATACTGACCCTCAGTATTTTTTTTTTTTTTTATCCTCACCCGAGGATATTTTTCCATATTTTGTACAGATAGAGTGGGAGGGAGAGAGAGGAAGGGAGAGAGAGACAGAAACATCGATGTGAAGGGACACATCGAGTGGCTGCCACCCGCACGATCAACCAGGGCCGGGGACAAACCGCAACCAAAGTACATGCCCTTAGTGGGAACTGAACCCAGGTCTCTCCGGACCTCAGGCCGACGCTCTAACCGCTGAGCCAAACTGGCCAGGGCAACCCTCAGTATTTTTAACTAAATCCTCTGTTACCCTATTCTGGGTTAGGCTTTCTTGGCTACTCAGGTACTCGCCTTTGTATTTTCATTACTGGTTTATATATTATGTTTACACATATAGTCATACACAAATACACACATACTGTAATTCCCCCATTGTCAGGGTGTCACCTCGCGAGTGCTCTATGGGAGGGCACATGGTCGGCCACAGGCTCTTGAGTCACCTAGCTCAGGGTTAAAACCCAGCTCTACCACTGGCTACTTGACCCTGGCTAAGTTACCCCAAGGCTCTGTGCCCTTTTTTGCTCATCTATAAAATTGGGGGAATAACAATTTTTCCCATGTTATTGTTGTGAAAACTGAATGAGACGAAGTAGTGAAGGTCCCTGGTGCACAGTAATCCCACAGTAAACACTGCTCTTGGAAACATTCCTTGGCTCTGGGTCTCTGCCTGGGAGAACTCCCCCAGCTGCGCTCCGTGGTGTCTCGCCTGTGAGGAAGCTGTGCGTGAGCCAGACCACACTGTGTCAGCCCTCAGCTGGTCACCCAGTCATTTTTCCTCTGAAGGAATGAGGTTCTATGTTTTGTCAAAAAGACCTCATGGTGAAAGTGGAGAATGAAGGGAAAAAAGTGGTTTCCCCTCTTTTTTTGAGAATATTAGGATCCCAAACCTGGTCTCGCAATTTAAATAATGAGCACGGCTCGCTCTCGTTCTTACACGATTTCCAAAACGTTCAGCCAGGTGTTCTCAGGATGGAAGCCTGAAGCCTTCCCTGTCCATGGTCATTATCATTGTCAACTGTGGTGATGCTGGAGGGTTGTCGAGGGTGGTGGAGGTACGAGAGGGTACAGAGAGGATAAATGGTGATGGGAAAATAAACCAAAAAATGATGACAACCTAAAAAAAAAGTCTCTAAAGTGGCCCTCGAGGGTGAGGGAGCCAGACTTAGTCCCAGGCCGGTGGGGCTGGGAGCACAGGCGGGTGGGAGGGAACTGGCGACGGCCTCCCTCCTTGCATACCTAGCTTCCTGGGTCTTTAAGGTGCTGGCGGGAGAAGTGGGCTCCCCTTTGCCCCTAAGTGTTTATGCACCTTCCGTGACTCCACCCGCAGAGCCTCCTTCCTATGCATTTTCCGCTCGGAGGGCTCATCCCTCATATTCACTATGTACAAATGCCCAGGAAAGGCCATGCTGTTGGCACTTCCTAACTAACGTAACCTCAATCGCTGGATTTGAAGGGACTGCCGGCTGAGACCGAAAGAGGCAGGACAAACGTCTGGGGAGGAGGAAGGGAACCCAGGTTGCTTTGCATCCTTTACCATTGCATCTGGGGCTGATGGCCCGGGGCTTCCCTACGTGGTGGTGGGGTCCTGCTCGGACATTCGCCATGCACCGGAGGCGAAGGGGAAGTGTGACTTCCATTGGGTCTTGAACTCTCAGGAGAAGAGGTGTTCCCCACATCTCCCAGGTTAAAATGTGGCGTTGGCTCTTTGTCTTTATTTCGGAGATTTGGGGGGGGGGGGCTGTGGGCCTGTGATTTAGCGGGAGGGAGTATCCCAAGAATAAAAAGGAGAAGTCACCTAGTAGCAGGGAACTTGCAGTTGCTGTCAGATGTGGTTTCACTTGTCACTAAGTCATAAGAAGTTTGTAACTGAAACTGGGTTATTTAACAGCTTCTTCCGGGGCTGCAGCTCCCTGAGCAGATACCAGGACTGTAAGGCTCTGGAAAATGTCTCTGCTGTGGGAAAAGCAGTGGTATTACATAGAGAGAATATTAGGGGCATGTCGTATGTCACTTTGGAAAAGGCCGTCTGATCTTGGGGGCAGCCGGGCCTGGAGACCAAAGCTCTGGACAGTTCCCAGCCAGACCCATCTCAGTCCTGGCCCTCACAACCTCCGCTGATGTCCTGTTGTAGCTCCTGGTGACTTCTTGGTCTGGCCTCAGCTCTTCTGAGGGCAAAGATGTGCGGCAGCTGGGCCCGGCTTTCCTGAGGGGCGGGGCGGGGCAGGTCTGCCCGCTGGGTTTCTCGTTCAGGCTGTGTGTGGGGCTCATCTGTTCTGCGCCCTCATTGTTTTGCTATGTGCTCAGTTACCTTCCCTCATGAGGTGGAAAATCCCAGGCATCTTGGGAGGGAAGTGGCATCTCCTGGGGCAACAGTGTAGACTCCCCCTGCCATGGGGACCGCACCCTTCCCTCTGCTCTCGAGGCGGGGAAGAGAGTTCCCAGACCTCCAGAGGTTAATAAGCCAGCTGCTCTGAAGCTGGTTTGGTGACGAGAACTTGTATAGCTGGCCGCTGGCCCTGAAGAAGCCCCGTTGGCCCTGCGCCCCAGGGCTGGGGCGGTCCTCAGCGGTTTCAGCGCTCGTCTCTTCTCTGTCTGTGGGGTACACCTTCTCTGCTGGTGGCTGCTGCTTCTGCTTTACAACTAGGACATTTCAGCTGATCAGCAGAGAGCAGTGAGTTCATTTATCCTCACAAGTGCTTGAACATCTTTGGTTTCCCCAAAGGTCGCAGCTCTCGAGTTCAGTGTCACGGGCAGAGACTAAGCATGCAAATGCATTGGCTGGTTCCTTCTACTCTTTCCTCTCAAAATTAAGGTACTAAGAACCCAGCCGAAAGCATCACATGCCACGGTCAGACTAGGGGATTCTGCTGGCCAGGCTCTGACGCACTTCACCTCCCTTCCCTGCCTTTCTGGCTATTTGTTTACTCAAAAAAGAGTGTCTTTGTCTTTCGAGCTAAGCCTCCTGTGTGTCCTCCTTAGCAAGCTGAATCCATGAAGGCGGCGAAGGTCTTCATGGTGGAAAAATACACATGATACGCTTTGGACATGTTGAGCATGCTGTAATTCTGAGAAAATGGGGTTTATTATTCCCGAAGAAGGGTTCACCTGGATTGGTTTAAAATATTACAGAAGAATTCAGATCCAGGTAAGCAAGTCAAGGAATCCGAGGTGATTTCTTCCTGGTCTTGAGTTCTGTGTACCTGTGTATGGGGGTCGGTATGTGCAGCGCAGGGCAGAGTCCTTGACCGACAGACCCTAGTCCAGGCTCCAGGGGCTGCTGCCCCCCCTGTGAAGGGTGGGCTTGGAGGCCTGTGTGCTCAAGAAGTTTGACTCCTGGTCTGTCATGACTTTGGTCTGCCAGGCCAGTGGCTTCTTCCGTGCTGTGGGATCTCCACAGTGGTGTGTGTCAGAGGCACCATTGTGTCCCCCAAGGGCTCTGGGGTATGATGGCTCTCAATTCCCACCCTGGAGGCCACGTGCTACTTTTCTGGGGATGAGGCAGTGACAGCAGGAAAGGCACACCTGCTACACTAGTCAGCTTGGCAAACGACCAGGATGCAGGGAAGCGGTTTCCTCCATTCTGGCATTAGAAATTGTCGTTTGGTAATCTTAACTGTTAAAAGAGGAGAGACTGCATTCCTCAAGGTTTGCTTGGGGCCTTGGGGCCTCAGCAGTTGCTGCTATCTGCCTCAGATTCTCTTATCCTTCTCATCAACAAAGGCTGTGCTATATACTTCTCTCCCCGTGTTGTTTGTTCACCAAACACCCAGTAAAGCTATTGAAGGCACCAGGTATATAGTCTGAGGCAGGTCAGGTGTCGGACGAGACTTGGGTTCTGGGCTTTCTCCATCTGATATTGTATGACTAGTCTGTGAGGCTTACACAGACCCCT